AATTGACAATAAAAGCAATATAATGCAAGGAAGAAACCTGCAATTGGTAGAATATTTGGGAAGAATGAGGGAGGGGAATGCCATCAAAATAGCAGATGCTGTTGCACAAAGTAGCCTAGTAGGATTAATTACTAGTAGCTTCATGGTAAATGCATCAGAATAAGCCATATTGGATTGCAGTGTTTGTTTCTCTGGGTGTTTAAAGATAACCCCCCTCCCCGCCCACATTTCTTGTCCACAGAGCAACAACTTGAAGTCACATGCATGCTGCTGTCACTGTGTAGGCTTAGTTCTTCCTCATTCACTCTCTGTTCTGCTCATCCTTTCATTGAAGTTCAAAAAAGTTCAAGAGGCTTAAGGCAGTTACAAATGTGAAGACATTTTAAAATGTTGGCAGGGAGTTCTTAGATATATCAAAATGCCTTTTACTGACTGTGCCCAGCAGGCTGGGCACCTTGAAAAGCCCAAATATTTTAAGAAAACATTTAATGGTTTGACAGCGGTAACCAGCTTGACATCTAGAAAATTGCAGATGTTTCTTTCCGATACAGGGGCTTGTTTTTCTTACCTTCTTTTAAATGGCAGATGATTGGCTTTTACTAAATACTGGAAGGGAGGGGGTGGGGGGAGGGGTGACTGATTTTTATTTAATGTTACGGGGAGGCTGACCACTATATTCTCTTTTGTATCCTAGGTAATGTACTTTTGGAATGTTATTGATAGAATTATAGATAAGTTGTTTTTTTTCCTTCAAGTAAAAATAAGTTATTGCTGCGATACCCATCTCCTAAAGCCAAGAGAAATGTGGAGAACTCAGGGTGACACTAGTGTTCAGTCCAAAAGGGTACCTGCAGTCTGCCTGTCCACATCAGAACCGTGCATGAGAGCGACACCAGACTTCTTTACATTTGTGACTGTTAACATGCACCAAAAAAATTGTGTAAGGGGCTTGTTTGCACCCGACACCCTGCAGATTTCTCTTGGCTCTAGTCTTGCCTACATAACCTCTTATGCTTTAATACATAACTGCATTGGGTGTGAGCCTTGTAACTGTATAGTCACTGTGTTCTACATAACATTTTACACTGCTGTGGTTGCTTAACATTTTTGTTACGGCTTTGAAGCAAAAAAGGCATGATTCTTAGATGATGTTAAACTTTCCTTTCTTTGAAAAACAAGCTCCTTCTTACAGAATATAATAAACAGTAGTGCCTGTGGTGTAGCCCACCAATCTTGAATCAAGTAGCTGATGCATTGTGCAAATGAGGCTTTGAGATGGTTTTTGCTTAAACAAAAACTGATAGGAGATAATAGGTAAAAGTGTTATTTAAACCTTTGAAATAAATGGATGTAACTGTACCGGAGTACAGCTTTTCACTTGTTTAGTTCTTAAACGTTAGTATAATCTCAGTAAAATTTAATATAAAATGTTGCCAAATTCAATGTAGAAAGAATGTGACAAGACCCTTTGGATAGTTCTATTGTTTGTGTTTTTGCATATTGTAAAAGCAGTGTCACAGCTAAAAATAAAATGTTTCTAATGGTAAATTATTGTGGTTTAGTTGCTAGTTTGTACTGAGAGTTGACCTCTCTGTGTGCAGTTTTTTGTTCTAAACTGGTATAAATAATTGCTGTAACTGTGTCTCCCTTCTACATTGTAATGATTGCTTCAGCCTACATTATAAATAAAGAACTGCTGGAAAACTCCTGTGTTTCAGTTGTTGAAAACAAACCACAACACCTCTTCAGGGAATCTAGCTTCAGATTCAAGTGACAGCTGAACTTCAAGTATACTTCATGCCCAGAAGTAAGCAGACATTTAGAGAAGAGATCTTGAAAGTCGTATAGCTTTGTTTGCATGCCTCTGGAAGAGGTGGGCTGAGGCAAGGTAGAATAGCATCTGACTAAATGATGAATGCAATATATTTTCCTGCCCTTTCCTCTGTTACATGTAAATACTAGCCTGGGCATGAAAAATATGCTTTTCTCTGTCTGCTGGCAGTATAGAGTAGAGTTGCCTTTTTAACTTCAGGAGAGAGAAATGCTGTGGTTAACAGTGCATGTGCTTATACCAGTAATTTGTCCATCTTGCAATCAGGTGTTCACTTCAAGTCGCATCTGAGCTGACTTAGACTTGTGCGTGTCTTGAAACAAAGATGAAGAGGGAAGGAATTGTTCCTGCTTAAAACTTAACCTAGGATCATAGGAAAGCAGGGCTGGAAGAACTTTGTGAGGTCAGCTAGTCCAGCCCCTTGCTCAAGGCAAGATCTTCTTTGAGTAAACCATCCCAGCATAGCCAATAATACTGGGATGCATGCAATGGCTTAATTTTTTCATCTGTTGAAAAATACAATTCGTGTCTTGCGGCTTCCATTTTTTTTCTTCATCTTAAGGTTTCCATGTTTTCTTTCAGATTTTAAAAGAAAACTCCAGGTAGTTAAGCTAAAAATAATTTCTTGAAGAAGATCATACTTCCATCACTTTTGTCTGCTGCCAAATGTACATCATGATTGTATGCTCTATGGCAGTGTTTCCCAAACTTTCTTATTGTGTTCCCGCTTCCAGACTTACCAGCTGTCTGGGTACCCCTACCAGCATGCATTTTATATTTTTACCCCTTAAATGCCAATTATTACAATGAAAATCAAATCCACCATTACACCATTTCTCCCACGTACCCCACAGATGCCTTGCATACCCCCAGGGGTACGTGTACCAGTTTAGGAACCCTGCTCTATGGAATCAGCTTCCAGTAATTGAGGCATGTTCCTAGCAGTGTTAAGGCACGCCTGTCTGCAAACACCATTTAAACAAATACACAAAAGAAATACTGCATCTTCCTATGAAGTGCCACATAAGGCCTGATTTCCTCTGTATTTAAGTCCATGAAAAGACTCCCCCATGAGAGGCTTGCATTTGAGGTCATCAGCCCAAATGATATTAAGCAAGCCCAAGAGCTCATCTTTACATTTTCCCAGATGTATATGTTACTAGGCAAGAACAGCACAAGAAGGCGGACTGAGCATCCCCTTTAAAAAACACAGAATCTGAGCATTCTTTGCAATGAGTTGCTAAAACCAAGCCACTTGTGATGTGAAAAAACAGTAGTTAGCTACTCTCAACTAGTGCCAAAATGCTAAGCATGAATAATTCGGGAACACTAGTGACACAGGCCTTGCAGGAAGAGGCAGCCTCTCCATCCTGACGGCAGTAACAAGCTGCAGAAACGAAAGAAGCAGAAGCTTCACGACTAAGCAACACGTTCCTCTGAGGCGCCCAATCGAGCAAGCATGTACTGGAGAGCCCTGCAATCCCCCAGGACTAGGCCCTTCCCAAAATACAGCTTCACTTCTCTGAGGCGACTGCTTGCAAGCGAGGCAGTTTTGTGCCCTCAGCCTGAAATAATTCAACTCCACCTCCCAGAGAGCACCCTAAAGACCAGGTTACAGGTTCCTATGGCCAAGAATCTGGCATTCCTTTCAAAAAACCATAGAGTTTCCTAGAGCATGTAGCCCACAGTAGTAAAAGCTGCAAATAGCTGTTCAGTTGTTCTGGCTTTTACAATCCACTAGACAAATGGGGCAATAATGCAGGTTATTCAGGTGCCACAGAGGTGGGGTAATGTGTGCATTCCACAATATAGGTAGTGCAATGCTCCATTTAGCCAAGTCAGAGTATTACTAGCAAGCAATCTGCTGTGAGAACAAAGAGTAATGTAGTTACTTCACTAAGTAGGCATGGTTGGCTTCACTGCAGGAAAAAAAACTCCACATAAGCCAGAACTAGCTTTTGGACAGCTTCTTAGGTCTCTTGCTTTGCCAACTAAAAATGTGTGTCAAAGATGTACAACAAAGGGGAGAAATGGTAGGTTTATGCATATCTTCTGCTTTGTTGTATAAACGTGAAAGCCTTTAAAGCTTTGTCTGCTTGCGATTCCCTTAAAATTCAGACTTGCGTAGGACAAGAGACTGGTAGAACCATAGCAAATGACAGGAGTGAAAGTTCCCCCTGTTAAGGACAATGTACCCCTTTCAACTACACTTAAACAAAACCTTTGTTCAAAAAGGGTATTTGTATGTTTTTAACACTGAACCGAAAAAACCCAATTGACTAACAGCCTTCCTATAGTGAATCTAGGGAAAGCCAGTTTGCATAAAGAAGTTTGTTAGACATTAAAAAAAATCACAAGGTACATGAAAAACAAACTCACTTTGTTAAGAAACTGCCCATTAGAGCAAGGGTGGGCAATTATTTCAGCTGGTGGGCCACTTAACAAGTTCTGGTGAGTTGTTGAGGGCCGCACATAATCTTTCAGAAGATTTTTTTTTTAAATATTATAAAAATGAAATCTGGTATTAAAAAAGAATCAAACATCTACTACAACATATCTTAATTTTATTGAAAAAAATATTTTTGGCCTGATTTTTTTGAGTGGGTAGGGGTGACTGTGTATTAGCTCAGAAAAGTCTAACTCTTGTGTACAGGCAACCCCCACTTAACACTGTTTTGCTTAGCAGTTTCATTATAGCACTAATTTAAAATACCTACCTGGTTTCACTTAGCACTGAGCGCATTTCATTATAGCGTTCAGCATGGGAGTGGGGAGCAGTGGCATCGGCGTCAGCGTGGAGGGAGGAGGTGAATGACAGTTGGCGGGAGCCCAGGGAGGGGTGGCAGGAGCCCAGGGTCCAGTCTGGCATATGCTGATGGAGCAGGCGGGGAGGAGCAGCGGCAGCAGTGAGAAAGGGCTGGAGGGTGGCAGGAGCACGGGTCCCGGGCTGGCATGCAGGCAGGAGCATGGGGCCTGGGTCCACGCAGCAGCAGGAGTGCGGGGCCCAGGCCGGCAGGGCCCAGAGTGGGGCTGCAGGAGCGTGGGGTCTGGGCCAGCAAGTGGTGCGAAACCAATTATCTTTATTTACATTAAATCCAATGGGGAAATGAGTTTTGCTTAACACTGTTTCACTTAGGGCTTGGTTTTTGCAGAACCAATTAAGAGCACTAAGCAGGGATTGCCTGTACTATGTGTGTGGAGGGGCAGGGAAAAGAGGTACCAGCACACTATGTCCTAGGAGGCAGCTGGGGGTAAGGAAAGAATGAGAGAGGGTAGGAAGACAGGGGGTGTGTTCAGCACAGCTCACCCAGGCAATGTGGTGCAGTGCAGGTGTGACCTGCCCACCCCCATCCAGCTGAACCCCACCCAGGGCAGCCCACACGTGCCCAACACCTAGTGACGGCACCCCCCCAGCCAGCATGCACAGCTTCCCATCAAGGCTGCTTGCAGCGTAGCTGCAGCCAACCAGGTACTGCTGGGCTCCTCTTGCCTCCAGCAGCTTCTCCTCCCTCTGCTGCCTGACTCTGGG